CATTACTGTAATATAAACGTCATTTTTCGCACTTTAAGTTTACATCCAAAAGAAAGAGAACATGTTCGATTGAAAAAATCAAGCATACCAATACACGCAAATGACAACAACAACAAGTGTCTGCAAATGAATATCATAAAATGCAATTTTAATCAAGGAATCATCCACATGAACACGCCCGATGTCTGTCAGCGATCCCCTACTGAAGAAGTTAAAAGGTATGCATTCATTATTTATCGTTTTTACTCTGCAGTATTATTTATAGTGACACAGTCACCGTCCAACACCAGTACCCGGATAGTCTTTTTTCTCGCATGTCAGTGCCATCAAGACGTTCATTTTAATACTACCGATTAAATTTTCTTTACATATTGAAGCTGCATTCCTCCAGATGAGCGAAAATATTTCAAGATAATCAAACCTGAGAAAAATGCACTAAGATTTTAGGAAACGTAAAAATATTCAAGATTCAAGTAAAAATTTACATGTTATGTGAGATTAATAACTGAGTTTTCAGTATTTATAACTATATTTCTACTGCGTTACAAACGCAGTAAGGGCTATTTTTGCATATTTTGTCCTCTTTTTTGTAATTTACGTGGGTGGTAAGAGCCATTGATAATGTGTAAATTACTTCCTTTTGCTTATTTCACTAAATAATACTTTTAAACACATTTTAAAAATTTTCATGAAAATTAGCATGAATCTGGAGGCATGCTGCTTTAATCAATTTTTCTACTCTATAATTTCACCATGATGCTTCTTGAATTTACCATTTTAAATGCAGAAATAATCCATTTAATAAAGATCTAATCAAATTACATAGTTTGAAAATGTATGATTTATAGATAAGGTCTAAGATAACATGGATAATGAATATTTAGGAATTGTTGTAAAAGAGCCTGTCGGAAAATAATATGGAGATTCTGAATAGTTTATGTATACGAAGGTTGCTGTGCTGAGTGTGGGGATGTCGCTGAGATGATTTTATTATGTCATTAATATGAAATGGTGAAGTCGGTTAAAAAAAAATCATTTTGTCTGTGATAAAGGTGTCATTTGGTATTTCATGCACTTCTTCCGTTTTCACTCAGAATACTCGAAAATTATTATAAATCCGAAAAGTTGTGATTGTTAGTAATAGGAATACCCCGCCTATATTGTTTTATAAAGTCCTAAAATCACTGAAGGTTGTTATTGGCAATCTTAATATAAAATATTTACACAAAATGTTTGGGCAAATGCATGCCTTTCTTCCAGCTAATGTAAATTGTTCAGAATTTATTACATGAAATCAGACACATATAGTTCTTAAAAATAATTCAATAAAACACAATCATCATGTTTGATAGGTCTGACATTCAGGTATTTTCTCCAGATTTTGTCCTGGCATTACGCTCAAAGGATGAAGAAGTGAAAGACTCCAACAAGCTTCTGTGTCCACTATGTGAGAACCTAGAGCACATCTTTTTTAAAGGATTGAGAGGTAGAGTAAAACTGGTGGTTTCAATTTGATTTGTTTTCTGTTACAAATTGAAAGATTTATATGATTTATATAGTTTCACTGTCATTATACTTTACAAGCAACTCAGGCTAGAAACTAAGCATTTTTCACTGGAAATCAAGAATTTATAATGAGCCTAAGTGAAAATCTACTAGTTTTTTCCATCAGGCTAGAAGTAATTCCAACCACTGGAAACTTTGTTCTTTCCTAGAATCTTTTGACAATTTCATTTCAAATTGAAAATCTATAGAGATATTAATTATAGTTGGGCAATAAGAAGTTAAAAAGATGTAAAAAGCTGCTTAATTAATAGATTTGATTATCCTTCGTCTTTAGTTGCATTGATAAATATTTTGTATCAGTTTTCATTTTGATGAATAATGATGCTATCATCAAAGTAATGCTTGGTTAAGTTTTTTTTGTACAACTCCATAATGTCATTAACCACTTGAGGTATTCATTTGAAAATTGTCTTCAGGATTAAAATTGTACATGAGTAACACTTTCCAAGACCTAATGAAATATAATGTAATATTTATTTAGATAATATCTTTTTGTTATTTTTAAATGCAGAGAGTCATCTTCATATTTCATTATTTTCAATAGAACAAAGGTAGAAATTATGAGTTACAGAGGAGTAGATTTATAACAATGTTTTTACTTTATTTTCAGCAAGTGTATCATGGCTAGGCTCAAGTAAAACAGAATACTGGACATGGATTTCCAAATTTCCTGTTCTATCAGAACAATATAGGTAATGTTTTACTATTGACTGCTTAATTTCAGACTTTTGATAATTGAAAACCCTTTACCTTTTGCCTCCAATATAGAGCCAGGCCAGCCTGTACATGTATGTCTCTGCAGTCTGATCAGGCTGAAATCCTTTATACTTTGAATGGATTGTTCCAAATTGAAAGTTAGACAAATCTATTTAAAGAGACTCCACTGAGGTTTTTGCATGACAAGACTAATGATAAATTTTCCAGATTAATGTTTAATTTGATGTAGGTCTAGATTGGCAACTTGTTTGCAAAATTTCAGATTATTTGCTCACTCTGTTTTTCCAGAATAATTATTCTTTTTGTTAAAATCACTTTTCACTCAAATTGGCTAAGAATTGCACAAAAATAAGATTTTCAATGTATATCTGCATACATAATGTATATTAGGTTATTCTTTTCTTTTGCAAATCATTCAGTTTAAATTGTCCCAGCTGATCTATGAAAGAAATTCAATATTTATATTTTAGCCTTTTTAACCTCAATGAAGTTCCTTTAAGAAATTCAGAAGATTAAAGTATCTTTGCAAATTCATAATGAAATTTTGACAATCATATGGGGCCTTTGTAATAATGAAATAGTGTAACAGTATTATTATATCAAGTGTATACTGACTTTTTGAAATCAACAGCTTGTGTTGTAAATTCATTGTAATTATTATGATTAATACTGATTGAAACACAGATGACAGAATATTTGGACAGAAATAAATGGAATAGTTATTTGATATCGGTAACAGCTGTTGTAATTACCTCCCTTGTTAATGTATATTTATAAGTTGTGTGCCATATTTGATTGTAGTTGAAATTTAATTCATGATACAGTTCTGATATTGTTGTTTTAGCACTTAATATTGGCCACCCTATTTTTCTCCATTATTGAGCCTGTTGCTTAACTTAGGGAGGGTAGCTGAACTTTTGACATGATGCACATGTTGTATTGATGTTATATTTGAATGAATAAAAAAAGATTATTTTTGTACTCTCTCCCAATTAATATGTTTACTTTTTTGCTTTTATTTGTTGAAGAATAATTCAGAATTTTTGATATATAGGAACTTGTCTTGGACCTTTGCCCTGGTTAAGTTGTGTGGTATGAGGTCAAGGTCATGGGGGAAATTTCTTCTACTTTTATACTTAGTTTTGCAATGTTTTATTTAGATATATACATGTGTATAAGCTTTTTCATAGAGCATCCATCATTATGTATTATAGATGTTCATATTCCATTTTTTGAACTGTTCATTAAAAATTTTGGGATATCAAGATGAAAATTTGATTTTTATCATCTAACAGTATAGAGCCTGATCAGACAGCACAGATGTGCAGGCTGGCCTGGCTTTAGGTGACAAGGACTAGTCACTTTAGATCCCAGCAGGGGAAATGTTATGGTGTTACATTATTGGCTATTGATGTACAGTATAGTAGTTGTAAATTCTCTGTAGAGGTTGAAAGTTACATGGATATTTCTTGTTTACAGAGTAAATCCATTGTTGTGTATGTCTGTAACAGCTGTGAAAAAATGTGAAAAGGTATGTATGATTTATAATACTTTATTATAATGATAACAAGACTTATTTGCTCATATAACATAATTAGATTATGATACATTATTAGAGTGAATTTACTGACAATTTTACACCAGAGTTGACATTGATTCTAATTAATTTTAATATTTAATAGAAGGTTAAAAGGTTAACAAGTACATTTTGTACTCTGATAATGCTTATACTATTGAGAGATGCTCTAAATAATGGACCATATTCACTGAAAGGCATTAATGTCAGGTTGGTTGCACTTGACTACATAAAAAATGTCACTGCATATTTTAGCAGTTAACTCTTTAGGTTGACTGTTATATTTATATAATAGGGTCAGCTGTCCTACTCCCCTGGGCATCTGTGCCAGCTTCACACTTGTGCTGAAGTTGTGGTAGAAATTTATGTACCACAGTGTTCTTGTTTAGTTTACCTTTTTGAGGTTTATTGTATTTTTTTAAAAACATCAAAAATACTTATTTGTGACATTGACTTCCATTTACTTTGTCCGGAAATTTTGTCATAAATTATTTAATTATGCCCCTTTTTTGACTTTCAGTTTTTAAATATCTGCTTTTATTCCACTATTATATACTGAGAATAGTCAAGTACCCTGTCCTACAGACAACTCTTGTTTTGTATATTTTGCTTCCAATGAAGTGGATCTATTTAAATTGTTTTTATGCTCCCCGTAAAATTTCGGGGAACATATAGTCGCCGGGTTGTCCGTCTGTCCATCCGTCCGTACGAACCCAGAGGTACTTGTGTGACTTGGAGAACAATGGGTAACAGTAAATTCTCTTTGATCCTATTCATTCCGTACGTACGTACGTCCCGAATTCGTGTCTGGCCCATAACTTTGTTATTTGAAGTCGGATTTTAAAACTATTTCACAGAAATGATCACCATATTGAGACGACTTGTCGCGGGTAACATTTGGGTCGCTACCTTGAAGGTCAAGGTCACAGCATGACCTTGAAGAAAAATTGTGTCCGGCCCATAACTTCGTTATTTGAAGTCGGATTTTACAACTATTTCACAGAAATGATCAACATATTGAGACGCCATGTCGCGCGCAAGTCGGTAGACAGATCTAATTGAGTAGAAGTGCAGTGCAAAGAACAGTAACTCTGCATTGCCTAAGTTTGGAATTATCACATTTTGAACTTTGTCTGGGACATAACTCTGAAACTACAAAAGATATACTTTTCTGTGTCCAAATCCTAGTCGGGGACCATCACACGGTTCAACCGGCTCTTGTTGTATACATGTATTTTGTATTACAGACTAAACGAGACCAAGGGAAAGGTAGAAACTTCATTAGGATAGCCTTGGTGAGGAAACTGCTAGTTATTGTGATCACATTTATGAAAAACAATCCAAGATTTACACAGGTATAAAACATTCATTGTTTCATTATCAGTTTTGGTTTTATTGATGATAATTGAAATGTAGATGAGTCCTTGTATAACTTTAAAAAATCAACAAATTAAATGTATAAAGCTGTATATTAACTGTCTGTGTATTTTAAAATCATTGTTTAAATTGTGATTAAATGATTACAGAATACCTTGAATGAAAGAAATTTGTTAGTGTATTTTAGGAAAAGCAATTGTACATGCATGAAATCATCATCAAACCTAGTATAAATAGCTGTGGAATATTTTGTTTCAGAACATTTTATTCTGATTGAGTACGATATTTATACATATTAAATTACATTAGCATTCTGTGAAACAAATCTTTTAAGAAACCATTTTGATTTTTACAAAAAAGTGCATCAGATATAGTTTTATACAGTTTAATAACACATAGTTGGAAAGTAACACTATTAAAGCACTTTTTTTTGTAAAGGTTATAAATAAAAATTTATATACATTATTTCGTATCTTAGCAAATTCTTTAATAATAAATACATTGAATTTGATGTTATATATTTCAGTTGTACTATGAAGAAGAAGACTCCATTATAGGAAATGAAATACTGTCTGGTCAGTATACTTGAAGTTATATTAACATACATTGTAAAAAGGTGAAACTGGAAACTTTAAAGGAACTCCACTGAGGTCCAAAAGCATAGAAACATAACATCTGAATTTCTTACATAGATTAATCGGGACACTTAAAACAAAAAGATATGCAAAAAATAATTAAGAAATATACTACGAATAAATTGAAAATAATATTTTTGTGCTACCCTGAGTTCGATTTGAGTGATTTGAGTGGTAGATTTTGGCAATTGAAATAGTTATTCTGGAAATATAGAGAGTAAAAATGATCTGAAATTTTGTATACAAGTTATTAGTCTAGACCTACATGTAATGGAACATTAATCTTATCAAGTGATTAAGCTTACAATTCTTTGTAAAGATTTGTGATGGTAAATTTCAAACCTAATACATGTATATATTATAAAAAGCATTCTTGCAGAAAGATTATTTCAAGTTTGCTGTGTTAATTTAGTATTAGTTCTGTGGCAGATTTTTTAATACTAGTTTTATGTAATATTGTATTTTTATACTTCAGAAATTTTCTTGTCACTTCTACATGAGCTACAGCAAGTTACATTCAGTCTTCAACTAAAGGTCAGTCATTGCATATTATAGTCCTCAAATGAACCTTTCATATTTAGAGCAATAATATTGTGCAATACCATTTGATAAATATATGCCAAGTGAATCTAAAACTGATTATATGGCCAGTAAATCTGAAAATCTAAACATAGTTATATGGCCAGTCTCTCTGAAAACAAATATATGGTCAGTACATTTACAAAAGAAGATATGGCCATTTAAGCTTAAAATGCAACTTTCATAAATATTATCTTAATGTCAATAATTGCTTAAGTCCTGTTCTGTTTCATTTATTTTTTATTGTGTAAATATATGAAAATTTATATGAGATAAATAATAGAAAAAAAAATTAATTTGATATTTATTCTTAGTATACATGTTTATGATTAGAAATAGACATACATGGTCTTTGAATGCAATAGGTTTGGGATTGAATGGAAAATTTGACATAATATTAAATGAGCCGTGTCATGACAAAACCAACATAATGGGTTTGCGACCAGCACGGATCCAGACCAGCCTGCGCATCCGCGCAGTCTGATCAGGATCCATGCTGTTCGCTTACAAATCCTATTACAAGTGGAGAAACTGATAGCGAATAGCATGGATCCTGATCAGACTGCGCGGATTCGCAGGCTGGTCTGGATCCATGCTGGTCACAAACCCATTATGTTGGTTTAGTCATGACATGGCTCAAATGTTATTTTGTTAATTTTAGAATGCAAGTTTCTTGGATATATGCTGGGAACTTCCTGTAAGTATATGTGCATGCATGTCACTGCTTGTTGACATTATTTGTATGTTAAAAGTGGAATTTTTTTTATTTATTTTATTCTTTATTCTTAAATTGTATAACACTATATATCTGCTGCAAAAATTATTGTTTGAATTTTAAAATATTATGCCTATCAAATGCTTGGATGAAAGAAATATTGTAGTAAATTACCATAAAAGCGAATCATGCATACACAAAATCATTGTAAAATGGATAAAATCCTACTTAAAATAACAATAATTTTTTGTTCAGGAACATTTTATTGATTACATATAATATTCATGTGTGTAATTATTAGATAAAAGAGAATTGTATGTTACAACTCTTCCGAGAATTGACCGTATGGTTATGGAAACAACATAATTTTACCATTGATAAATTTTATAAAAAATTTGCATAAAATACAGCTTTATACTCTTAAAAGTTATTATCTGGATACAGCTGATCAAATATAGTACATGTACAAACTTTTTATATAGCCAAAAATTAATACAATATCAAATTGGTGGTTTTATATGTATAAATCTTCTTGTTGAAATTGATCATATATAAACAGTTGTTTGCAGTATAACCATCTCCTAGATGTTTGGGTTATATATCAACTTATAATTGTTAATTCTGAGATACACAACTTGTAAAAATCTTTATAACTTACAATATACATGTATTTACTCCCTCAAATCTTCAGCCTTATGTTTTTTTAGACATAACCACTTTAATTTAGATATTAATTATACATTTTAAGTTTCTTTAATTTTTGTATTAGTTAGTTTTACATATTAAGTTTCTTAGTTATACATTTTTATTAGTTTTCTTATGTTCAGTTATAACCGTTTGCTTTATTTTAGCATGACAATAAACAGTAAGTGTAGTCATTGTGTTGTACTGTATGTTTTTCATTGCTTGTACACTCAGTTTAACCTTCATCCTGTTGTTCATATTGTATGATATTGACTTTGTATTGTATTGATTCTGCATTGTATGGTATTTTATTGATTTTGTATTGTATTGATTATGTGTTGTATTGTATTGATTTTGTATTGTATTGATTCTGTGTTGTATTGATTCTTTATTGTATTGATTCTGTATTGTATTGTATCATGCTGTATTGTATTGATTTTGAATTATATTATATAGATTTTGTATTGTATTGTATTGTGTATTAATTTGTATTGTGTTATATTGATTTTTGTATTGTATTGTATTGTAGACTGGTCTATACACTTGTTTCATAGACACATCAATATAGCTGAGTGCACTTTAAGAGTCAACATGCTTGATTTGGTTGCTAGCGAATAATTGTAAATGTATATTGTGGGTGTGCCTAAATGTATTATGTCAATAATATTGTCACTTTGGTAAGATATGGTATAGCATTGTGTTCTGGTATATTGTGAAAATTTTGTTTTCTGCTTGTGAGACGATATTGCACAGGGGTTTTGTTTGTTTGCTTGTATGTGTGTTTGTATGCCTGTGACAGTGTTTCCTTGAAATGGAATTGTATATAAGCATTCAAACTAACTCTGAATTTTCTCTGGAAGTTGTATACTAAATCGAGAATGAGTTATGCATGTGAGTTATGAAGAGGTAACTTTCCATTACCATGTTATTACTAGAACAGAATTTAGGAAAAGAGTTAAGTTTATCAGACTATTTTATGACAAAATTGTTTTTGAACTGCTTCAGAACCTAAGAAATTTTCCTCATAGCATAAGTTGGAGTTACAATCTGAATTGAAAATCTAGTTTTGTCAGTTTGCTGTAAATTCCAGAATTTTGAACCAGCAAATTTCATTTTAGTATTTTATTTGTGTTTTTAAAACAAATGAAATTTTATTATTTTAAAAGTTACAGTAATTTGATGAAATATTGTGACGTCATCGTCACGGCATGTAATCATTTACAATGACAATTGTAAAAATAGTGAAGAGGACTTTTAATTACTTTTATTTAAATAAATGATAAAGATTGCAATAATTAACTATATTTATTTTGTAATATTGACATGTTCAAATACTTATAAACATCTTATATATATGTTATATTAACATAATATTATCATGTCAATTCAACCTGAAACATTGCAAAACTCGTAATCATTATCACATGTGTTTAATTAATGTACATGTCCGCATCGGAACATGTGACTTTTTATGTTGTTATTTTCTATCGTATATATCGTTGTATTTCAGCGTCAGACCTTGAGATTTTTGATACATACTGTTTAAGTTCATCCTTTGTCACACTCCTCCATCGTTCCTTACAGCTGACATTTTGTATTATTGTTTATTTTTAAGTTATTTTCCAGATTTCTCCGCTCAGCTGTTTTCGTGTAGTCATCTTCTTTGCAAGTGCGCATGCTCCGTGTCGGGTCATAACTCATTATGCGGATCATAAATTTTCTGCGGACCCCTTTTTCACCGGGTCAGTGTTACCTACGGCGCATGCCCAGCATCGGGTCAAAGGGACCCTCTGCGCATGCCCCGGGTCAAATCAACGCTAAACTTCAGTTGCGATCCAGGTTTCCTAGAGAGCAGCCACGCTCTGATTACTCTCAGAATTTAAATAATTATTTTTGATAATTTCTTCAGGTTTCTTCAGAAGTTTAGGTACTAAGAACTTTCTGGCATCATTATTGCTGATTAAGTAAATTTTTCCATAATAAATTTTTGTAGGAAATTAAATTTAAGAGCTTTTATTAAATTTTCACACTTTGCCATTTTCGTCGAGGTCTGACAGCTTAGGAAGTTAAGATACTGTTAAATAGTTAAATATTTGTTAAGTTTTCTCGAATTCTATTAATTGTTATTCGCTCCTTAAATAAATTTACTTGTTGAGAATCAAATAACTTTTGTTATTTTCTGGTCGGCTCGGTCGATCGTGACGTGCGCTCACCCGCTACCAGGGGAGAGTCTTTAGTCTACCCGCTACCAGGGAGATATCAACGCCTGACTACGCCAAGAAATAATTAAATTAGTCCAGTATAGTCGGCCCCTTATATGAATATTTAGACTTAGTCTTTGCCCCACCCGCGCGCACGTCGCATCTGGTGGCAGCTATTGAGGATAAGACTTCGCCTACGAAATAATCTTGTACGACCAGTGTTTAAATTCACCGCCTTGTGACGTATAATCAAGTAGCAAGTACCATCGATACACATCCATGTCCTATATTTAACCGTTTATCGATCGAAAGTGTAAAATACTGCCAAGGTCACGTTTGTTTACATTTCTGCCAAGGGAGAGAAATCTCGGTAATTTTTCGTTGTTAAGGAGCGCATGAGTTACCTCCCGTGATTTTGTTTGTCTAGACTTTTGCATTTTTTTTTTAAATTACTTTGCCTGTTGTGATTTTTTTTTAAAGAGTGTAGCCTGTGTGTTTCTCATTACCAGAGAAACAAGTTCTTCATTTCCAGAGGAACTGCAGTGTATTTTTTTTTTAAATGATTTTATCTGTCAAATGATTTTAAATTTGAAATAAAGTAGTTGAACTTCTATTTTGCTGTCTGTACTGTATATTTAAAAGTGTACCGTTAAAATATTTTTTTTTTTTTAGATACAGGGAAACCCAATCTTAATGACCATTTATTTAGTTGTCATTTTGAACAGTAATAGAAAGTAAAGGTTATAGTGAATCAATTGTTTGAATACTTTGTGACCAGTTTACTTAGATAACACATACAATGAGTAGTAACCAAGATGAGAGTACTTTTTGTGACGTTGACCTAGAAAGGGACAGCACTGCCCATGGTGACCAAGCAAGTCATGACCCAGAGAGTAGTCCAGTAGTCCAGAAGCCTGGATCGCCACTCACTCCTAGGATGAATCAATGTGGGGAAATTTTAGCGACCCCCAGTGGAGAAGTAACGTTCAAAGTTCCAAGACAGATACAGTCAAACCCGTTTTATAAGACCATGGAGGAAACATCTAATTCCAAGATGTTTGATGGTCAAGATCATTGCACGGCAAGCAGGTACAATGTACAAGGCCAGTACATTGGGGGTATGGAGACCATGATTGGGCGTGGAGTGGTCATCAATGGAGTCCATGGCAACAACATTGGGACCCAGACCAGTGGGCAACCCAGTGTTGGTTTGATGACCCAGGTTGCTGGAAGACCTCACCCTGAAAGTCCTTTGTGTTTTGAAAGGTCTCGTCCACAAGGTTTTATCGGCGAGCAGGTTCTCGGTGGTACGAGTGGGGCGCATGTATTATACAGTAGGCAGCCGGCTCATGCGCAACAGAGGGGAGGTGGCAACAGAAATTCCCAGGTTATGTACAGAGGCGAAAGCCAGGGTTGTACCAGTGATTATTACGACTGTATGAACGAACAACCACAAAATCATGTAGCAAACCATCCTAGGTTTTATTATAATAAAGAACAACCCCAAAGAGAGTATGTCCAAAATAATGCACAAGTTAATGACAATACAGTGCACCCCAGAACAAATAACCCGTATATGTATCCTAATTATGAGGAATCTAGTAATTTGTTTCAGAAGAGAAATCTGAAACCAGCGACCTTTGACGGTACCTCATCTCTTGATGTCTACTTACGTCAATATAACCTTGTAGCCAAAATGAATGGTTGGTCAGATATTGACAAGGCCATGAATCTTATAATAAACCTTAGGGGAAAAGCCCAAAATATAATCAATGAAATAGATGAAAATGACCAGATGAATTTTAACCGTATAGTTGATGTACTCAAAGAAACATTTGAGCCTAGTAATCAGACAAATTTATACAAAGCCAAGTTACGGGCCAGGAAACAGAAGAGAAACGAGACCATAGAAGAGCTTGCTGCAGATATTAAACTTTTAACCCGAAAAGCTTTTCCTGGAAGTACATCAGCAACTGTTGAACAAGAGTCCATTGTTCATTTTATTCAGGCCTTAGATGATAGTGAACTTAAATTTTATGTTCAGCAATCACGCCCAGAAAACATGAATAAAGCAATTACTGTAACTTTAGAAAGTCA